GGAAGAAGGTCGAGGTGCGCATCCGCTTCCACGCCGTCGCCGGCGCCGTCGCCGACGTCGGCGACGCCGCGCCGAACGAGCTCGTCGTCCGCGTGCAGCCCGACGAGTGCATCTACTGGCGCGTCATGAACCGCGTGCCCGGCCTCCACACGTCCCTGAAGCTCGAGCCCCGGCGCATGAACCTGCTCTACACGCCGTCGGAGTCGCGCGACATGCCCGACGCGTACGAGCGGCTCCTGCTCGAGGTGCTCCGCGGCGAAGAACTCAAATCTTCAACCCGACTTCAATGTGCGCGTATTTGAAAGGTTCGACACAAACTCTTCGGCCGGGCTTCGAGAACTCGATGCGAGCAATCGATCCGTCCAAAAATCAGCCGAATCGACTTCGATTTGACCGAGCTAGAGAATTTCAAAGTTTGGTCGGGACGTCCCAGACCAGCGGTCGATTTCCACGCAGGTGCTCCGCGGCGACGCGACGAACTTCGTCGGCGTCGACGAGCTCGACGCGGCCTGGGCCGTCTTCTCGCCGGCCCTCGCCGCCCTCGCGGCGCGCACGGCGAAGCCCGAGCGCTACGCCTTCGGCTCCCGGGGGCCCTCCGTGGCCCGGCTCCTCGGCGGCGGCGCCGCCGCCGCCGCGCCGCCGCGGCCGCCGCCGCCGCGGGACGACCGCCTCCCGAGCCCCGACGCGCGCTCGGGCCGCTAGGGGCGCGCGTCTCCGAGTCTTAGAGCCCGTCGGTGTGCGCCATGGGGTACGGCGGCCGCGTCCGCCGCCGCCGGTCGCAGGGGCAGCAGGGCACGCAGAGCGCGACGGGGAAGAGGCCGAGGAGGATGAGGACGCTCGCGATGCAGCAGGACACGACGCCGCAGTAGCGCTCCTCCTCGAACTCGACGACGCCGTTCGGGTTCACGCGGCCGACGACGACGACGCCGCCGGCCGTGCGCCGGTAGACGTACTGGCCCCGGGCGCCCGCGTAGACGTACTGGCCCCGGGCGCCCGCCGGCGGCGCGCAGGGGCCGCCGTAGGCGACGGCCTGGGCGGCGACGGGCGGCGCGCCGGCCACGGCGGCGTAGGCCGGGGCGCCGCCGACGACGGCCGTCGCGACGACGGGCTGCGCCGCGACGACCGTGGCGTGCGGCGTCGGCGCCGCGCCCATGGGCTGCGCCGCCGCGACGACGGGCGGCGCGGCGCCGGGCTGCGCGAGGACCGCCCGGGGCTGCGCCGCCGGCACGATGCCGAGCACCGTCGCCGTCTGGAGGCCGCCGCTCGGCGTCGCCATGCTATACTCCGGGGCTTCCGTGCCCTCGGACACCGTGCGCCCACGTTGCGGTCGACGTCTCCCTCTTTTTACACGGCGTGGCCGAGGCTCCGGAGGAAGGCGGCGGCGCTGGAGTTGTCCGCCGAGGCGGCGACCGTCGATCTCCGCTGCGTCGCGTGGTACGTCGACCGGCGCCGGTTGCTCTTGGAGCTGTGGACGTTGAGCTCGCGCTGCATCATGTAGCGCGCCTCGGCCTCCTTCGTGCGCCGCGCGATGTCGCGGATCTCCTCGACGAGGTCGCGCTCCTCGTCGCACCTGCGCCGCGGCGGCGCGTCTCGGCGGGGGACGACGCGCGGGGGGGGCGCGGCGCGACGCGCGCGCCGCGGTAGAGGTCGTAGATGCCGCCGGGCGCGAGCGCGCGCGCGTTGCGGACGCGCAGCACGGCCGTCTCGTGGCGCTCGCGCGCGTTGTAGACGCCCGCGACGGCCGCGAGCTTGACGTGCGCGGCGGCGGAGCCCGAGACGTCGATGGCCGTCTCGAGGTTCGCGTCCATGGCCTGCGTCTCCGCGCCGGCGGTGACGAGCATGTCGATGATCTCCGGGTCGCCCGCCGCCGCCTGGGCAGCACACGGGTGATTCAACGTCGCTTCAACGTGCGTGTTCCGCGCGCGCGCGTTCCAGGAAAAGCATCCACGCTTCGAGACCGTTCCGAGAGATGATCGCTCGTCCAAAAATCAGCCAAAACGAGTGGAAAATGGCCGAGCTAGGAGCCTTTGAAGTTGGGAATGTCGCTCTCTCGTGCCGCCCTGGCCGCCGCCGCCGCGTGGAGCGGCGTCCGGCCCGCGCGGTCGCGCGCGTTCACGCGGACCTTGCCGAACTCGGCCTCGAGCGCGTCCTCGTTCGCCGCGTGGCGCAGCAGGAGCCGCACGCAGGACCGCGCGCCGCGGGCGCAGGCGCAGTGGAGCGCCGTGTGGCCGTGCCTGCGGGCGCGGGGGGGGGGGGGGGGCGTCGCGGCGGGTCCCGCGCGCGGCGGCGCGGCGGGCCGCGCTTGTCGGGCACGCTCAGGTCGATGCCCGCGCGGATCGCGTCCTCGAGGACGTCGGCCCGCCCGCTCTGGCACGCGTAGTGCGCGTCCGTCCGGTCGCTCCCTAAGCGCGCGGGGAGATTCAACGTCGCTTCAACGTGAGTGTTCCGCGCGCGCGCGTTCCAGGAAAAGCATTCACGCTTCGAGACCGTTCCGAGAGATGATCGCTCGTCCAAAAATCAGCCGAAACGAGTGGAAAACGGCCGAGAAAGGAGCCTTTGAAGTTGGGTCCCCGCGACGCGCGGGGGGGCGGGACGCACCGATGGTGAGCAGGGCGCCCGTGGCGCCGGCGTCGCCCGCGCGCCGCCGCCGCCCGGCGCTCCGCACGCCCATGACCTGCACGCCCTCCAGGGCGCGCCGCGACGCCATGGGCTGCCTCAGACGAGCTTCGTCGGGTTGTGGCCGACGGTGACGCTCTCGCAGGTGATGCCCAGGGACTGGATAGACGACGCCTGGTTCACGCTGAGGCACACCGACGCCTCCGCCGTCGTCAGCGCGCTGAGCCGACCGTCGGGGAGCCTCAGGCCGACATCATCGGCGCTGGAAACGCCTTCGAGGTAAACTTGAGAACGCGTTAACGGTGCCGTCTCGTTGATCTGTGAGAGCATGGTTTGAGCTCTTCGCTCTGCATCGGCGTCGACGGCAGCGCGCGACCGCTGCATAGCAGCAACGCGTTCGCCGCGATGCTGCGCGAGGTCGCCAACGCCGTGTTCGTCACGTTCCTCGGGAGCGAGTGGCTCTGCGCCGACGACGGCGCCGGGCCGTCGTCGCTGCTGCGGCGGCCCGCCGCGCGCCGCGCCGCCGCCGGCGCCGCGGCCGTCAACGTCTTCTGCGCCCTCGCGCCGGGCGCCGGTGACCTCCGCGCCTTCGCGGCCGTCGCGGGCGCGCGCGGCGGCGCCGCGACCCTCGAGGCCGCCGTCGCGTCCGCCGTCGTCTGCAGCCTCGCCGCGCGGCGGGGGCGCACCGTGGTCCCCGCCGCCGCCGCCTTGCTCTTCGCGGCCTGCTGGGCCGCGTGCTACGCCTTCGCCGGGGCCTCGGCGCGCCACGCGCCGCGCGCGTTCGTCGCCGCCGCGGCCTACGTCGCCGCGCTCTACGCCGACTGCCGCCGGTCGCCGCGCCTCGACGCGGGCGTCTTCGCGCGCGAGCTCGCGCGCGCCGCGCTCCTCGTCGCGCCCGTCTACCCGCTCCTCGCCGTCGCCATCTCGCTCGTCTTCCTCGTCCTCATCTCGGCCTTCGAGCGGCTCGGCCTGCCCCTGGAGCTCCTCGACGCGCCGCTCTTCTACGGCGTCCTCTACGGGCCCCTCGCCGCGGTCTACGTCGAGGCGAAGCGGGGCATCCTCGGGCGCCGCGACGCGCTCCCGACGACGCGGCCCGGCGACGCGGCCGTCGCGCGCTGCCGCGCGGCCCAGCGACGGTTCGACGCGCTGTAAGGGACTTCGGGGGAGCGCGGGGCGGGGGCGGACGCGGGGGCGGGGGCGGGCGCGACCGCCGCCGAGGCGCCGCGCCTAGGCGTAGGAGGCGCAGCTCCGCTTGGGCCGCGACAGGAGGCGCGGCGGCGGCGCCTTGCGCTTGACGCGCGAGGCGATGGAGTCCGCCGCGCCGGCGGCCGCGCCCGCGGGCGCCTTGAGGCTCTTGATGCTGCACTCCCAGGTGCCGGCGACGAAGGCGCCGGAGGCCTCCGCGGCGCGGAGCAGCGCGAGGCCCTCGGCGACGTCGTCGGCGCCGCGGGCCTCGCGCGCGCGCCGCTGGGCGGGCGTCATGCGCGCCGTGTGGACGCCGCTCGCGCGCGAGCAGTCGGGCGACAGGTGGATCGTCGCGATCGCGCCCGGGCCGCCCTCGCGCGCGAAGGCGCGCGCGCGCGCCGCCCAGCCCGCGACGAGGTCCGGGCCGTTGGCCGCCGTGACGAGGACGACCTGCGCCTCGAAGATGAGCTCGAAGATGAAGCCCTCGGCCGCGAGCTCGCGCTGGAGCTCCTCGAGCATGAGGCGCTGGAACTCGAGGCGCCACTCGACGCAGTCGACGGCGACGACGACGACGCGCTTCGCGCCGCCGCGGACGGCCGCGCGGACCTTGCCCACGGTCGCGACGCCGCAGCCCGCGAACACGTTGATGTGGAGCATGGCGTAGAAGAGAAGACCTGCGGCGGCGCGCGCGGCGAGGACCGCGGCCCCGAGGGCCTCCGCCGAGTTGCTCGGCAGGCCGTCCTCGAGCCCGCGCCGCAGCGACGACGGCGTGAGCCGCGTCTGGTTCTGGCGGGTCTTGAGGACGCCGCGCGCCGCGTCGCGCTCGTAGGCGTCGGAGATGGAAGTGGGGAGGTCCGAGGTGCCGCACGCGAGGCGCATGGCCTCGCACCATTTCGCGAGGCGCGGGCCGAGCGTCTGAAACGCGGCCGTGAGCAGCACGGGCCTACGAAGCACGACGGTGATGATGTCTCATTGTTTTCATCTCTCGAACATCGTCGCGGCCACGGGACGCCGGCGCGGGCAGCATCTTCAGCCGCGCGGCGCCGTCCCAGCCGCGCGGGACCGGCCGCGGCTTGCCGTCGCCCTGGCACGTCGGGGCGAAGGCGCCTTGCGCGTCGTAGCGGCGGCCGCGCGGGTCCGACATGAACGCGACGGGCACGAAGCCCGTCGCGGCCTTGACGGCGCGCGAGCCGAGCGCGCGCAGCACTTTCGCGGGCCGCGTCGGCTCGACGGCCGGCAGCACGCCGTGCGGCACCTGCGAGAAGGCCGCGAGCGCCCGCCGGCGCGTCGCCGCGAGGCCCGGCGTCCGGTCCTCGAGCCGGACCATCTGCGGCTCGAGCGTGAGCACGACGTCGTCGACCATGGCGCGAGGGCAGCCGGCGCGTTCGGGCGCTGCAGTTTCGGTGTGTAATTGTGGAGTTGAGTTTCGGTGTGTAATTGTGGAGTTGAAGCTTCAATGTTTACGTTACCGCAGCCCTCGTCTCAGGTCAAGGCCCTCGAGATGGACGCCCGCGAGACTTCGTTTCTCGATGAGGCGCAGCGCCGTCATGACTCGGGTAGCAGCCTCGATGCGCTCGGTTGGGTGTATGACGACGGCGACGGCGTGCTGCGCATCGAGGATGAGCCAGATGGACATACGCTCCTGTATTACGCAGCGCGACAGGGGTGGCGCACAGCCACCGCTTGGCTCCTCACCCGCGACGCCAACGTCCACGTTGGCTATCCCAGGATGCATATGACGCCACTGCACATCGCCGGTTTTCCAAGACAATGCGCCGTATCGCTCCTTCTGCTCGAAGCGGGCGCGCGAGTTGGTGCCCACAACCGACGCGGGCAGACCGCGCTCCACTACGCTGCCGCCGACGGACACACGAACAGGTGCAAGCTCCTCCTGAGTCGCGGCGCGTCGCTCAATGAGACCGATTGCTACGACAGAGACCCCGAGGCTACCGCGCGATTCCTCGGGAGCACAGACACGGCCGAATTCCTCGCCGCGGTCCGCGCGGCGGGCGGCTGGCGCGCCTACTGCGCCGCGCGGCAGCGCTAGCTCGTCCTCCGCCGCGCGCTCCCCGCGCTCCGCACGCGCGGCGCCGCGGCCGAGTCCAGCGCCCCCGCTCTACGAGCGTCTCTTATTTTCGCCAGGATCTCCGCCTTCCGCCCCGACTTCTAGGCCGCGCCCTTAGGCGTCCCCGTCGTCGCCCGCGGGGATGGGCGCGTAGGCCCGGCGGCGGCGGCGGCCGGCGGCCGCGACCGTCGCGAGCAGGCCGAGGAAGGTCCCGATGGCGACGGCGACGTCCTTGAGGGACTTGGCGAGGACGAGGCCCGAGGGCCGCGCGTCCTTGGCGACGATGCGCACGAGGCTCAGGAGCCCGCCGAAGGGCGCCGCCGGCGTGCCGTCGAGCGCGGCCGCGTCGTCGTCGCCGCCCGCGTACGTCGCGTTCCGCGCGCCGCCAAAGGCCATGGCGCTCGCCCCGCAGGTCGTCGCGTCCGTGAGGAGGGGCGCCGACGCGTTGCGGTAGTTGCCGAAGGACGGGCAGAAGTCCCAGTCGCAGAACTGGAACGGCGCCTCGAAGAACGACTCGTCGACGCAGCACGACGACAGCTGCAATCCGAACTTGGACGCGGGCAGCGCGACGAAGACGGAGAACTTCTCCCACTGCGTGCGGGCGTAGGTGCCCGGGTCGCTGGGGTCCGGCTCGCGGCGCGTGAGGAAGGGCACGCGCGCGGCGACGAGCGTATCGATAATTTTCGCGAGTTCGCCCGACGCGAAGTCGAAGCCGAGGTGGTCGTCGAGGAAGGCGTCGTAGACGTTGGACCCGAGCGCCCCCCGCGTCGCCGCGAGGTAGGCCGCGTGGTCCCGCGTGCTGTAGTAGGCGTCGCCGTGGGCCGCCTCGGCGGCCGCGAGCTTGCCGTCGTCGCGGACGAGGCGCACGTAGTGGTCGTTGGACTTGCCGACGCCGCCGGCGGCGCCGAAGTGGACCCAGGCCTCCTCGCGCCGGGAGCAGGCCGCGAGGTGCGCCGCGTTCGTGCCGTTGAGCACCTTGCCGCCCAGCAGCCACCGCAAAAACTCCGCGTCGCGCGCCGGGTCCGGCGACGGCAGGGACGTGTGGTGGGGCGTCGTCTCGCGCGCCGCGGGCACGCGCGGCGGGCCCGCGGTCATGTAGGCCCCGAGCTTGGACGCCGCGTAGGCCTCGAACGCGGAATCCGAGAGGTTGTAGGCCCGGAAAACTTCGATTGGCCGGAAGTGGCAGGCGTCCTCGGCGAAGCGCTCCGGCCGCGCCGTCGACGGGCCCAGCGTCTCGTAGAGGTAGCCGTCGGGCGTGAGCGCCGTGACGCTGTAGACGGGGAGGCCCGCGTCGTCGAAGCCCTTGACTCTTTTGCTGGAAACGTTCGCCGCGTCGAGGCGATCCAAAACCTCGTCGACGTCCGTCGCGTAGGTGCCGAAGCTGAAGTCGCTCCAGTCCGTGCCCGGCCCGGCGAGGTCCCCGTGGAGGGCCGCGAGGTACGCGTGGAACCACGCCACCGTGACGTTCCCGCCGTCCGAGCCCGCGCGGGCCGGGCGGCTCTCGTCGTAGACCCAGTGGTACTGGTTGTCGCCGATGAGGAAGCGCTGCGCCGCCCAGGTCCGCACGACGCCGTCGCAGCCCGTGGGGCCCACGAGGAGGTAGTCGCGCTTGCTACTGTTGCGCACGACGGGGCGCGTGTTCAGATAAAGACGCGAGAACTCCTGGGACGCGAAGGCCGCCTCGGGCGAGCTCGCCGTGTGGGTCCACTTGCCGAAGGCGCCGTAGTTCGACAGCGCCGAAGCGGCGCCGGCGAGAAGCAGCAGCAGCCCCGCGGCGCGCCGGGCCATCGTGGTCACCTAAATAGCTGGATGTTGATGAGCACCTTTGCCTCTCGGGCGCAATCGCCTCCGCCGCATAGCTGCCCGCTGCGCGCGCGCGCCGCCCGCGCCGCCCCGTCCATGCCCGTCCTCGTGGAGGAAGAGGACCAGACGCCCATGCTCGAGATGGCCGCGCGCGTCGGCGCCGGCGCCGGCGAGATCACGGAGGTGCCGCCGGCCCTCGGCGGCGCCCTCGACGCGGCGGAGCGCGGCGCCGCCGGCGGCGACGACGACGACGACGACCGGTTGAGCCTGCTGGCCCTCGAGTACGCCGTGGGCACGGGCGTGCCCAGCGACTGGGACGCGGCGGAGCCCGACGCGCCCTGCGGCGAGGACTGCGGCGACGGCGACGGGCCGGTCGCGCGGGGCGCGCGCGCGTGCGCGCGGCGCCTCTGCGCGCGGCTCGGCGCGCGGCGCCTCGGCTACCTCGCCGTGCTCAAGTGGCGCGACCTGTCGCCCGGCGAGGTCGCCGCGCCGTCCGCGGGCGGCGCGCGACGCATGACGGAATTGCAGTGCGTCGTCGGGCCGTTCTGGCCCTTCACGCTCCTCGTGACCTACCCGCTCATCTTCTGCGTCTCCGGCGCCGTGGCCTTCGCCGTGCTGCCGGACCACGCCGTGGCGACGAGGGTCGCGTGGGCGTGCGGCGTGCTCGCGCTCGTCGTCGCTTTGTCGTGCACCGCGTGCCGGGACCCGGGCGTGCTCCGGCGCCACCCGGAGAAGCCCGGCGCGGCCTGGCGCTGGAACGACCAGGCGCGCACCTACCGGCCGCCGGAGTCCGTCTACGACGAGGACCTCGGCGTCGTCGTGACGGGCTTCGACCACGTCTGCCCCTGGACGGGCACGGGCATCGGCGAGAAGAACCTGTGCGCCTTCCACTGCTTCGTGAGCCTCCTCTGCGTCTGCATCATCTTCGACGTCCTCCTCGTCATGAAGGTCCTCCCCTAGGGGGAGGGGGGCTAATTTTTTCCGCCAACGGGCTTCGCCGCGGGATATGTCGATCTTCACCACCGGCTACGGCTGCGAATGAGCCGTCGTTGAACAAGCACATCTATGAAGCAATGCTGCAGTAATCCGTAGCTAAGAGACGGTCTCTCGTGCGAGCATTTCAGCGGCCGATGATGGAATCTCCACCTTAGAGGGCCCCGCGCTCCTCGAATATGCAGCGACGTGCAACGATCCCAGTGGCTTTGAGGTCCGCAAACATGTGGGTGAGGCACATGAAAAGACGTGACATCCGGACGATTGCGAGGCGACGCAAACGGGCAGCCCCAGGGGGTGGAATGAGGCGCGGCAGCTTCCCCCGACCCGATTTTCGGTCCCCTTCGAGTCACAGAGCGTCGGGAATCGTTCGTCATGGGGGCGACCAGATGCCCTCGCGGCAGCTCTTCGGCTCGAGTGGATTTGAGAGATCACCTCACCACCTCCGGGAGGCGTGCGGCGCCGCGGGTGACACGGTGCTCACCGCGCAATGCATGAGGCGTTTGGGCTGTTAGAACCGAGACAGTGCCCTCGGGAACATCATTCCAGGGGGGGTCTCTTCGAAGTCTAACAGCCCAAACGCCCCCTGGAACTAAGTTGGGCCCCTCGTCGGTCGCCCCCCACCGTTAATGGCCGTTCTCGTCATCCACGGGCTGCCCCGACGCGAACTAAGTTGCTCGCCTTCGACCGATGGTCTTTCCCGAGCGACTCACAGCCGGGCCCAAGGCGCGACATGGTCCACAGACCGAGCGCCGCGCCAAGTCTTGGAACCGCTGCATCGCGCGTCCGAGCCCGGAGCGAGGCAAAGCCGTGACGTCAAAACTTCACGGCTTCGCTGCTCTTTGAACCGGTTAACTTTAGCTTAGCCGGCAGTGTGTCGATCTTTTCGGCGGGGCTCAAGGTGTAAATGAGTGGCCCAATTGGAGTGGCCCTGTCAGCGTCTCCTCGGGTTTCGGGGCAGCCTCTCCCGTGCGTCGATCGCAGCCACCGACACCATGTACGCGAAGCTCGGATTCCGCGTCGCCGGCGCGACGGCCGGCGGCGCCCTGCTCGCCACGGCCCTGGGCCGCGACGAGCTCAAGGGCTCGAAATTGAGCCTCGATGTCGGGTCGGCCCTGGCGCCCGCCCCGGCCCGGGCCGAGCAGTCCCTGAGCGCCTTCATCGACTCGAACCGCTACGCGGGCGTCTTGAGCCCGGCCCTCGGCAACTGCCGCTTCAACGAGCTCATGCCGAGCCCCGGCAACGCCGAGTTCAAGCTCGCGGTCGTCGAGTTCAACGTGCCCGGCGCGCCGCGGCGCCCCCGCGCGCCGCGCGCGCGCGCGGGGAGGCGCTTCGCCTCGAGCGCCGCGCGCCGCGACCGCGCGCCGCGACCGCGCGCCGCGCGACGCCCCCCCCCCCGCAGGCGCGAAGAACGGCGGCACGGACAAGGGCCCGAACGGCCACCGCATCGACTCGATCCCGATCGCGAACGGCGTCATCAAGGCCGGCGGCGCCTGCGAGATCAAGAAGTACTTCTACGACCAGCACGACGCCTTCGCCATGGACATCGAGCAGTACGACGCGCTCATCGTGCGCATCAACCCGGGCCAGCTGTCGCAGATCCCCGGCGTCGAGGGCGTGCAGGCCAAGTTCGACGCGCTCATGAACAAGTTCGTCGCCTCGGGCCGGCCCGTGTGGTCGTCCCCCGGCGTGCAGACGAAGATGGGCGCCAAGGACGCGCTCTGCAAGATCGCGAACATGGGCTGCGGCCTCGTGGACACGCTCGCGTACTACGCCGTGTGGAAATCAACCGCTGGCTTGGGACGTCCCGACCAAACTTTGAAATGCTCTCGCTCGGTCAATTCGACGTCGATTCGGCTGATTTTTGGACGAATCGATGGCTCTCATCGAGTTCCCGAAGCACCGCCGAAGCGTCCGGCGCCATCCGTTCGATGACGCGCACATTGACGTCGGGTTGAAGATTTGATGTCCGCGCAGGTACTACGACGAGGCGACGCTCGACAAGGAGTTCCGCAAGACGTGCGCGTTCCAGCCGCGCGTCATCAAGCAGAACCGGGGGTCTGCCGGCGAGGGCATCTGGCTCTGCTGGCTCCAGGGCAAGCCCTACTGCACGAACTACGGTGACGCGTCGCTCGGCGACAACGACAAGCTCAAGCTCATCGAGATGAACGACAGCCACACGGAGTACCACACGGTCAAGGAGTTCCTCACGTTCTGCGTCCACGGGCCGGACCACCCGGCGGCGGGGACCTGGACGTCGACGTTCCCGGGCCAGTACCTCAAGGGCGGCGTCGCGGCCGGCGGCCAGCTCGTCGACCAGCGGCTCCTCCCGCGCATCTCCGAGGGCGAGGTCCGCGTGCTCATGTCCGGCGACACGTGCCAGATGATCATCCACAAGATGCCCGAGGGCGGCGGCCTCAGCGCCGTCGGCGGCCAGGCGGCCTACACGTTCTACAAGCCCGAGGCGGTGTGGAAATCAACCACTGGTTTGGGGGGTCCCCACCAAACTTCAGAACTCTCTATGTCGGTCAAATCGAAGTCGATTCGGCTGATTTTTGGACGGATCGATTGCTCTCGTCGAGTTCTCGAAGCACAGCGAAAGAGTCTGGTCCAATCCGTTCGATTACGCGCGCATTGAAGTCGGGTTGAAGATTTGGAATCCACGCAGGCCCGAGGACCCGCTCTACAACGACCTCCTCAAGAAGCTCCTCAACGACATCGACAACGGCCTCATGGACGTGTTGGGCCTCAAGGGCGAGGCGCTCCCCCTGCTCTGGACCTGCGACTACATCCCGAAGAACCCCGAGGGCTGGTCGAAGCCGGGCAACGCGTGCGCCATGGACACGGAGTACGTCGTCGGCGAGTTCAACTGCTCCTGCGTCGGCGTGTCCAAGTTCCAGGCCGTCTGCGGCGGCGAGCTCACGCTCGCCGACGTCTCCGACGCCGACTACTTCGACGGCTGCGAGCTCACGGACCTCATGGGCAAGCAGGCCATCAAGATGCTCAAGGCCACGCAGAAGAAGTGACCGCGCCGCGAGCCGCGCGGCCCCGGGCCGCGCGCCCGGCGCCCCGGCGCCCCCCGGCGCCCGCGAGCCCCTCGAGGCCCTTCGTAGAGGACGGCGTCTTCCGCCGCCCGGGGCGCGGCGCGGGGCGCGGACGTCGATCCTCGGCGAGAGAGTTA